GATGCTGATTTTATGCCTAGCAGTAGGTACAAACATCGATTCTATAGATACGCTTGGAAAACAAGCTACATATAGAGCGAAAAAAAAATATGTAATACATGCCATGGCTACGTTGCCTTCCCCCTAGAAACTCCTCTCCCATAAATTTCCTTCCCCATAAATTAATACAATTCAATAATGAGTTTAGCTTCTACTTTAAAACACGTACATTTATGCACACATGCACATTATTGCACACAAGTAATTTCATTAACCAATATTTGCTTGTACTATTCGTCATGGACATGTAATGGGTATTGCGGCCGTCCGCCTGCCGCTAGAACCAAAAGTATGCTATATTAAATAAAAATCGAAAAAAGTAACTAAAACAACGAGTTGCGCGAGACACCTGTCGCTTTCGGATCCACAGCTCCGCTGATGGTGATGGGGTTGCGGATCGTAGCAGCGTTAATAACAATTGTAAGAGTCATGGTTAGTTAATAGCACGGCACTCCATTGACGTAACTGGTGAATTATCTCTTCTTGTGGGGGGCGGTGGAGGTAGCAGGGATAGTAAAGGGATATCCATCACCATTGAACTTTTACTTAACTGCAATATTTTGATATCAGGTGAAATTGAGGCAGGACAAAAAACTGCACTAAATAGAAGAATATGGCCGGGGTCGTTTGTTGCTGGTGCTGTTGTCGCCTCGAAAGGTAGCGTGGCCATCACCATCATGAGCTCTGTTCAAGTAAAAAAAAAAAGTGGAGAATGTAAATTTTGCTGTAGGAACATTTTCAGGAAGCGGAGCAATTTTTGCGCGTTTTAAGAAGTGAAAACTCTTTCTCGCTATTCTTTTGTTAAGGCATACTGTCGAAAATAGTTTTTTACACCCTATGCAGGCTATAAATCTGCTTTACATAGGTAAACAATTGTTGTTCTTAGTTCGGGGTCTTTCAGGTCGCGTACACCTTACCTGTGTCCACTCAGATCGGTATGACCGTGTTCTATGATCCCTAATTTGCCGCCTCCGCCCGATTAACGTATACAAAATCCCGGCTCGTTTTGTCGCGTTTCCGGTACCAAGTGTCGATGTTATTCTAGTTTGTTTCCCTTTTGTATCTGCTTCATAAATTTCATTTGGAAGCATATTTTTGTGTTTGGCGGGGCTATTTCCAGTTTTGTTTCGACCACTTTATATTGGGATGCTGTGTATTGTTATTTGTTTTGATGGATCTGTCCGTTATAATGTTGGCGTTCTTTTGTCGATATTAATGATGTCGTTCGGACAGTTGGTGGCGGGTGAATCCACGACGTTGGTACAACGTAAGTTACAATTTGCCAAGCGCAACTTCCTTGGGCCTGTCATCCACTGTGATTGTCTCTCCGTTACCATATGGTGTTAGTCGTTCGTGTTCATTATAATAATGTGAAGCCAGCAATGGTAAAGATTATCGGTAGAGTCGAACTTAGCGGTGCAACCTCGCAGATTTTAACAGTTACTTGAATCACGTTGGCATTCGTCGTTTGTTATATTTCGGTTTGATACATTGTTTCGACCATCTTGCCTCGCAGGTGGGACTATAGCTATACGAAATGTTATATTTCAACAGAAATGAGTCTATTATGAGCTTTAGGTAGAGGTCTGCCTGTTTTCGGCTAGGGGTTGTTAGCCTGGCTTACTTTCATTTGTTCATGTTGCCAAAAAGGTCTTTAACCGATATTACTACTCTGGTAATTTTTTGGGTTACCGCATACGTAGAAAATTTGGTATATTAAGCACTACGAAATCCAGTGAGCATATTAATTAGAGAAGTGGGCAGAACGTAGGGTTAAATATAACGATGTTTTAAAGACCTGGAGGAACCGATGAGTCGGCCAATAGAAATTCTAAACCCTTTGAAAACTTGGTTAGGTTCAGAAACAATCTGAAGTAGTACGAAATTTACATTGCAAATCCCAACTTAAAATCTTCCATTTCCTGATAGTTTATCCATATTTGCGTAGGCCCAGAGCACTTGCCCCGCTTTCCGAGTTTCACACCATAATTACTTTGTGCTATTGGCTATCACTGATGATCGGGGTTTCTTTTCAATCTTTATCCCTACATTTCGATTGTTGATACCACCTACGTCTCTCTGAAATCACCATGTCGTCTGCTACAAAATTTTTCTCGATTATTTCCGAGATATTCGAATCACAGTAAAACAAGGAACTTTTTTTGTCTGAAACTTTCATTTTAAGATTGACCTACTCTAATTCTATGTAATTAGAAATGTGAGACATTTCGTAACGTCTAAAATTATCGCTGCTTATGGCCCTCACAACACGTGACGAGGATGTGACGTGAACTAATGTGATCTGAGAGGCGCTGAGGTTTTGAATGGACCGGAGCAACTATGCCGACTATTTTTCTATTTCCTACAGCCTTCATTATTTAATCAATTAAAAATTTGAGTATAAAGTAAAATTGTTGTCAGCTTGGGCTTGGTTACTTGGACTTTAGTGTCACTGATAGTATCTATAAAAAAGGTAAAAGTACCTAACATTCGCAGGTGACGTAAAAGCTATGTATTCGTTACCAAAACCTTAATCCGAGATATTAGTCTAGTGTGTAGTGCGCGACAATATACAGGCAAGGCCATGTTGTTTCAAGTATCGGATGCTGTTGAGATCCGAATTGCCGGCTCCGACGCTTTAAATAGGCCTATTGCCCAGCACGCCCACTCGCTATCGACAACCTGGTTGTCTTCGAATTCCTGTAAGCCAATCGACCAATTCCGATCAGATGGTTAGCTGGGGGTGAAGAAGGCGCAAGCCCAATTTAAACAGGGTTCTTGTTAGAGATCGTCCGATCAATTTGTTGAATACAGGAGGTCGAGTCGAACCATTTTCGGACCCAGTGCGGTTGCCCTATGAAGTCGATTAGATTGCTGTCTCAGAGGTACGTGTGTTTTTCAACGGGTTCTGCTGCAACGACCAGCAGGCGTTGTTTTTCAGCTGCACCGTAACGATGTCACCTGCACCCTGTTTGGTGCTAGCCCCAATAGCTGTCTTTACTTAAGCTATCACGATGGGCTCTGTCAACACCGTAGATAGTCACCTAGTGAAAAATATCTACTGAAAGGTGAGTTATCTTTTTTTTTGGCGAGCGATGTCTATGATATTCGTCTCTTCTTAAACTAGGTTTGTATGCGTACATGAGTGGGCCGACTTTGGTTCGACAGCGTCATTGCGTGCATCCGATAGATCGAAAAGCGGAGAACCGCGGTCGTCGTTTTCGTTGCTATCGTGTAAGTTGTGTGGCCTGGTTAGGAAGGTGCTATTGGCCGGTGAGCAAGCGTACTCTGCTATACAAATGTGGGGCTCCCTTCTCCACCCGATGCGGAGGAGCAACTCCAGATTCAAAGGCGATAGTAGCCTCTAGACTATAGTTTGTCTTCTGCGTTAGACTCAGGCACCGCACACAGGCGAGCAGTACAGGAGCAGTTTTGGATTCGACCAGCTTAGGTTCGCTCTTACGGATCTTGCGGTCCTTCGCTGTCCCCAGCTGTACCTGCAGCATTCGTAGAGCTCGTCTCGTTCACCCCCCATACCAGACAGCCAAGCGTTGGCCTAGCTGCCGCTCGCCTCCGTTGGGTTTCTGTTCGTGATGTGCGAGTGGGCCAGTGGGCGACTGAACGAACCAAACAAGTTCCCAGTCGTTGCAGGCTACAGCGCCACAATAAATTCCTCGATTGGCAGTATCACCCGAACGCTAGCGATTTACAGAAACGCTCAAACCGGTGCTATTGCCTGGGCTTCCACGCACCGATGAAGGTACTGAGCAGCAGTCGTTGTATTTAGTTGAAGTACAGACGATTCAACTTATAATAAGACGCGCATTGAAGTTGATTCGTAGCGGACTACACTTCAAAGGAGCGGGAGGACTCGTCCGCTGTGGTCTCTTCTGAGCCTATTGAATAATTAGAAAAGGGCAGATACAGAAACCTACAGGTCACTACTATCAATAATAAATTTTACCTATATAACATTCGGTACGAGTATCCTCGAAATAAGTATGCAAAAAAATAATAAAAAATCCAAACTTAGTTCGTATTAATGGTAAAACAAGATTTTTGTTAACCAATTATATTTGGTATTGAAAATTCGTTTGTTGCCTAAGTATCGTCTTGGTTCCAAATGGCTCGTTCATAGTGACGATGTTAGCCTTTCAGAAGGTAAAAACGTAAAAATTGCTAGAGTAGGTCGGAGTTGTGTAGTATTATGTATGTTAAACGGTTATTGTATCGGTGTGGTCGAATTTTTTTCTCAGTTGTATCTTTGGAGGTCATTGGTAGCGATATAAGACCGGCAAGAAGAGGGTCGTGGCAGCAACAGCAAACACGACGAACACTCATCCAAACATAACAGGCGCCAGGCAATAATAACTCTGCCGACGCTGAGGATGGTTCCGACCTAGTAATCTAACTTTCGTCTTCTCCATCACGGCGGTTCTGATTGGGTCGTAGTCGCCGGATGTTGAAGCCGACTGACTGATATGGCCTAGCGGCAATAGAAAAGTGATAGAAGAATGGCTGCAGCAGCGGCGGCTGCTTTGGTGGTTATGAAGAGTGAAAGATACCCCAGCCAGCAGCCACCAGCCGCCGAGAGGCACCGCTAAGGTGGGGAGGGTGTTCTTCAAAAGCTGTGAGAATCGCAGCGAGCACAACCCCCTGAACCTCTGAATGTTACGCACAGGTTGTGTCACGTAGGCCAAGTACACAGGCACACTAGCTACTATTACTGCTACAAGTGTTAATAGTACGATGTTATTACGACGATAGGCGAGCACAAACAGACGACAAATGCTCGCGTGTACAGGGTACTTGGTTAGCTGAACCTTTAACAGAAGTTTCCTTGGAACCAATATATTAATATTCACCATCTATGTTTTTATCAATATAAGCAACTTGAAAAAAGAAATCATGCAGTTGAAAACAAACACGAAGCTCTAGTTTATTTTTGCACTTATTACGTATGCCTTACTTACTAGCAAGAGCAGCGTGTGTAAACGCCGATACTTTTTCTCCTACAAATACAGTGAAAAAAGTAAAAATATAATAGTCTAAAATATTTGCGCCTTCGATTCATCTTGTCCTTTTTGTCGTCATCCATCTCTTCATAGTCGCCATCGTCGTGGTTGTAATCTTGACCGCCGCCGAGCGCCTTCGACGACGTGGCCGACGCAGATCTTGCTGACGCTTCTGTTGCAGCTGATCGTGAACAGGTACAACAGAGGCTTCAGCAACAACAGCTCTTAAAGCCATGTATGTGTACCTAAATTAAGAAACGGCCTAAATAATTCACCATATTGTTATTCAACGCTCAACAGTTAAATTATGTTTGTGGTTTTACTCGGCGTGCACTGAACCTACTCAGTCTTCCCTCGTAAAGTAAGAAAGATCAGGTCACTACATAAAAGCTCATATTTTCTTGATTTCTCTGAAGCTCAGTCCGCTGATACTTCTGAGTATGTATATCTTACTTAGCATCATGCGTAAATGTCGTGGTGTTGGCCGCCGCTGCTATTGACCATCAACAGGTATAGCAGTAGCAACAACAGCGGCAGTAGAGCCTAAAATGCGTGGGGCTGTGGAACATGCATGCCCCAATGTGTGCGCTCGATTTAACTGACTTAACATTGCTTTAGCTGCCGTCTTTGACTAGTTTAGTCTTGCTCGTGGCGGTGCCTTAACTGGTGGGCCCCCGGCGATGGCCCGCTACCCACGGGCCGGCTGGCGGACAAAATCCGTCGAAATTCGCCTGTGGCTGCGGAGAAAGGAGCGAAGGGAGGGCAACGGCAGGGGGAGGAGATGGATGGGGATCTCCGGTTGGCCAACCAGTTTGCCGTCTGTTTCGTTAGTGATAGCTCTAGGGCTGGTGCGACGGCAGCTGTTACAGGTATCTAAAATTGAACACAAACGAAGAAGATGGGGCGAAGCACACCAAAAGGGACGAAGAGGAGGAAGCACTTCGCGGCATCGATAGCACTAGTAGTAAACTCGTTGTCGAAGCAAAGCCAGCAATGGCCGCCTGCAGTACTGACCGCGCGGTAGTCGACGTAGAGACATTCCGCTGGTTGCCGTTTGATGGTGCTGCTGCGGTTTATGCTGTTACGGCCACTACGGCCGTTGTCTTTGTCTGTCTTCAAACAGTCGAAACAAACAGGCAATCAAGTTAGCGAAAAGGGAACTGTGTTGTTGGCACTGGCGCTGCTACCGCCACCGCTTATCTTTTTTGTAGTGAATCCGTTCGTCTGAAACTTGTTGCTGTGCCGCATCGCGCTGCGTCAAGGATGGTAACGACTGTGCCTCATAGCAGACACCCGGCTGTCGGTAACTGTCGGCCAATCGCCCGATAGCTGCCGTCCTACCAAACTCGATTAAGCTAAACCAACTAATAAACTGCATAGAACCAAATGGAGGATCAAAGCGAACCAAGAGCTCTACGTGGCTCAGAAACCCGCTTCGCTATACGGTTAGTTACTGAGACGAACGGAGCGTCGAATAGCTATATCTAGTCAGTTAACCACCTAGGTCACCAAACGTCACTGTATATTCTCCGTACGTTTACATTTGTGCACCACCTTAGCTATTGTTACGGTCCTTACTCTTCGATTGCCACCGAGCGCCGTGATGCAAGAATACTTATATGCTGCAAGCAGCGACAGGGCGGGAGAGACTTGCCGTCATCGTAGCTGGGGACGATTTCACATATCGCACGCGATTATACACACTTACGTCCCCAAAGACCCACACGTGCCTAAGACAGACACTCTTTCACAATGCGCTAACGCACGCACGCCATGGCCTGTAACGAGCAGACCCAGAAGCCATCTAGCTATTAGAATCATCATTCATATTGTAAGTGTACAAATTATTCTATATTGTTACTGACAGTGACATAAATGTATCAATGATTGGTTTCTAATATCTACTTCCTGTGCTGTATAGCTTCTACCTATTGCTGTTACCGATGGCCGTTATTGAGGAGCCTGAAATATCCATCATGGATAGATTTCGTCGTCGTAGGAAGAGGTAATTCAAATTGGTTTGCAATCAACGAGTAAAACAGCGGCGAACGTTATTGAACAGCAGGAGTAGACAATTAGCTAGAAAGTAAGCAGACATGCAAGAACTGCGGCAGCAAAAACACAGGCCAGCCAGGCTAGCTAGCTTTATAGGTCAGTCTGTGTCTTCGTCCACCCACTCGTTTAAGTGAAAGTTAGTTAGCGTCCGTATGTATGAAAAATGTCTTACACTTACTGCTGTTCTTTGTGGTTCATAGTTATAGTCGGTCGACTTGTTCGTCTGCAGCGTGGGCTGCTGTTGCTGTCTGCTCGCCTATAGAGAGAAAGGCCACTCGCTTTTAAGGCGGTAGAATGAACTTCAGAAGAAGAACATCGGGTCGGTAGAAGCACGTCGCATCAAATTTAGCAGGTAAAGTAGTTAAGTTGGGGTATCGGAAGAAGGCAGCTATGAGCAAGCTGAACATTGAAACTGTAAGGGATTGCAGGTCGGGGGTGTTGGCCGCACCCCCAGTCAAGCTTGACAGCAGAGGAACTACAATATTACTGATAGAATTCAACATGATATATTTAAACGGCAATGTTATAAACTTCGCTTGCGTAGCTGATAGAAAATGGTTACTTGTGTCGGTATAATTGGCAAAGAATTGATGCAGTAGAGAATACGTGTTAGTAGTTTCCCTGTTGTTGGGCATACAGTGGTTTTCACTACAAGAAAGAATAGAGCATCTCTACTCTCCTTGCAGGGTATCATCAGATTATGCTTGTGCTCTATACGTAGCCATTCAATCGGTTGTTTCGGACCCAGTCGCGCGCCAATCGTGCGACCCCAGTCTGAATGAAGGGGTGAAACAACATTCCAACAGACATGATTTGGCAGATCGGGACTGTTAAAAGCCTGTCCGGTGGTATGGTAGATGGTGACGCAAGGGGCAAATCAGGATCTGTCAGGAGAATGCTTGACAGATACGTTTTTTCTAGAATTTTTTTTTGGAGAAAATGGCAAAATCTGTAGATATTTATGGAAAAAGGAAGAAGATTTTTTTTCAAACAATCGTTCTTCCCTCTAACTCCTACGCATACATATATAGAGTAGCTTAACATCTCGTTTACTCGTAGATAAGCGGGAAACTAGAGCTTAAATAAGATTCTTAGGTGTCAGTAAAGCAATACTACGATTGCTGTTATATTAATGAGCTTGTACAAGATTGAGCAAAATGAGGAAAGACAGTTTTTCAAGGTGGCAAAGGTACAAACCTGACACTACGAAGGGAATGGGGAGGAGATAGTCTCTAGCTTGTTCACTTATTGGCTCGTCGTCGTTCTATTGGTGGGAAGAGGGACAGGATGTGGTAGCGCATTGTAGGCTGAGGTCGACAGGAACCAGTTTAATTGGGGCCAGGTATGACAGGGATGTTCCAGAACGGTACAACCTCACTAGAACATTAGTTGTAGCGCCAGTTAGGTAACACTAGCTGCTAGACTATGGGCAGCAAGTGGTCACGCTGGTAGGGTACTTGGACAACGAGCGTGCGAACGATCCACGCGTCACCAAATGCAGCCAGCAAATGACGGTAGCCATCGCGCTCACTGTTTCACAAACGAACAGCGACGAAAGGGACGCTGAACAGCTGACCAGCCGACCAGGTGGGCCAGTGCGGGGAGCGTAGTAGCAGCAATAACAGAAGTGCCTGCAACAACGGGGACAGCTACCCGAGCAGAAGCCCAATGACAAAGTTGTAGTTGTTGGAATTTGGTAGGACCAACTCACACTCGTGGGTGCATGACAGCGAGAACAGAGCAACAGACTTCTTAGAGAGAACGTAACTGTCTTGGGTGTCAGTGATTCCAGGGAGCCAGCTGCTGCTCTTGCTAGCCAGCAAGATGGGGCAAATATTGGTAATACTGCCTCACTCATTGCCGAAGTACCTTAGTAGAGTACCTTGGCTAATAAACAGTATGCGGATGCGCCATAGCTAATTATTTGCCCACGACTCTAATTGGCATTTTTTATCTTGTGATCCACAAGTTCCTGGAAGATGCAATCAAGAGGATTGAACTGAGCCCCTGCAATTTTTCACTGTTCAGCGTAGAATGAACTAACAAATAGAGTCAACTGCCTTCAAAATTTGATGCCGATAGCTTTAGCTAAAAAATGACCACCCCAACCAAATGTGTTCTTCACTGAAAAAAAGCCTAGCCAAGTTCTCTAGCTGAAGAAATCGAGGTTCATATCGAATATCTAACACCCGCGTCCGCCAAATAATCTGCTCGCATGATGTGTGCTGTTGGCTTGTGTTTTATACCAAATGCACCACCTACCAGACCCATAACTAACACACGAACGGCTTGTAGTTAAAACAGAAGAAGACAAAGCTAAAAGTCTAAAATGAACGAACGCAAAAGCAAATGTCATTGTTTTCTCTTAATGTGCCACTTGCTACATAGTTTCTATTAAACGTCAGAGCGTTGACGGTGCCCAAGACGACGGCGGTCACCCCGAACCTTGTTGAAGACATCGCGCTCTTATGGCGAACACTTGTAATCCATATTACAGCGGCATTTTGAGTCGAATGAAGTACGGCATGCTTCAGTTGTAGAGTGTCGCTGCTGCTAGTGATTCGCTTGTATACATGTACATGCACACTATATGTATGTATATATATCCTTACGTATACGCTCACATTGGGGGTGCAGCCGAGCAAGCAGCGAGGCGGGTAGGGAGCGAGAGTGTCGCTTGCTTGTTTGCCCCGCAGCAACAGCACCGTTCTTGCCACCGGCAGGAGCAGCAAGACCAAAAGTAGCCCAAAAGCGGGTCTGGGCCGCGGGGTAGCTACTGGTTTCAGAAGGCTAAGAGAGGGAGATCGGAGGGGATCGTAACGACGCCTGAACAGAGCTTGATTGCGGCTAAAGCTGTTGGGCAGTAAGTACCGCCATAACTCCTAGTGTTACAACAACTGGATCACACTAGTTCTTTTGGATAGGTCTGAGACCTCTGTCTGCCCGGAGCGGCCGCTAGTAGACAGGACGGTGGGTGCTGAAGGCCGTGGGGTAGTAGCTTGAACAGCTCCTAATCTCCACTTGTTTGCGAACCAAATTAAACCTACAAAACGGCAAATCGGATGGGAGGGAAAAGATATGAATTAGCGATCACGCCATCATCAATATGAGGTTCGATACTAATATTAAGACAATTGGAAACGGTTCGATTTTGTGCATTAAAAAGCAAATATTCAAAATGAGTTCACCGTGATACCATTGAGTACAGAACGTTTGCGAGACGGATCTAGCTATATTAGGTCGGATGAATACCTGAAATAGCAGCGGAAGTAAAATTCATTGAAAGGAACACATTTTTCAAACTGTATCAGTGCTTTAATTGGCATTACAATAGAAAGGACGAGGAAGTCTGTAATATTTGCTAGATACATGCAAAGTTAGCTCCCCCTAATGGCTCTTTTACTGCTATGTTGACGACTTATGAGGGCGTGTTGATTATGGATAAAAAAATAAAGTAGCCTTCCGGTCTGCGTTCACAATTATGAAAAAGTGACGTTCCAATCGATTTGTTTAGGTTTAATGCAACGGCACGATATTCTAAGGAAGATTGACTAAGTGCATCCGTTCATGTTTCGCTAGGGGGCAATGATATTCTATCACGAACGAATCCTTCGTGCGCAAATAAGTGTGTCTCTCGGTACATGCTAAAGTATGTGTACTGGCTAAATATTCTGTCTGTTATTTGCTTTCATGACTCGCGGTACTGGTTCAGTAGATGCTATTTAGCGAGAGGCAAAAGGAAGACTGACGCTTTCTGTGCCGTCTGTAACCCAGCTGTCGGCAGACAAAACGATGTACTTTGACCTGTTCAACCGTGGAGGACACGGCTATAGCTATACATAGGCACGAAGGTAAGGAAAAGGCAGACGAAAAACTACTCGCATGCAACATCGTTTTCTTACCAAGTAAACAAAAATCAATACATTATGATGATTTTGTAAGCAATGCATCCGCGATCAGTACTGACATGGGTCAGCTAATGCGGTTTTCCCATACTAACAACGATGTTGTTCCAATGAATTTTCCTATGCATCGAATTTTTCCAACTGGAGGAACAGGCGAGAGAAGTTTTTTGTCGTATTGTGTGACTTTTGACGAGTTTGCATTGTATTCTAAACAGCTCTTCAATGTGCGGACGATGGACATGAAATAATGCATGAAAGACCGGCCGCATATGGACGACTAAAATAGGGAAATATTATATTACCAGTCGTTCAAAATCCTGCGGGATCTAGGACTGCGGACTTTTGTCTAGCGGCAGGCTATGCTCGAGAAGTTGGCAATGGGTCGGTCTGTAGTCCTCGTGCGTGCTTCCAACGGGACATGGCAATGAGGCGTCGCGGATTCTGCGACGACTTATAATTAAGACTTGGCTCTAGAATATCTGAATAATGTCCAAAGAACTCGGATCTAACAACGGAGTTGGTCCGGCAGCAGCTATGTTTGGACAATAATGATGACCTTTTTGCAGATAGATTTCCGAATGCTGTCTATTTACTATATGCTATGGTCTATTAGACCCCTGTATATCGGCAGATGTGTAAACATCAAGCGAGCACTGTCACCTGAGCCCGTCGGAGCATCGCGTCCTGAACGTTCCGTACGACTGGGCTAACATCCGATGTTATACAAATTAAGTCGACTGCCTAGTAACTCGTTTTAACATTCTATTTTTCCTACCTAAAGTTATCGTTTGAAATAATCGTTTCGTTATAACCAGATGCAACACGTTAGACGCTAGTAGTGATTGTTAGCAGGATATGTCTACTGACTTAAGATTTGTTTTTTTTGAAGAGGTTCTATTTTTTAGCTTGCAAATTTGTCTGTTGATGTCGCTGGCTAGACGATTGGAACCATTGAAAACAGAGCCAAAAAAAAATGGCAGAAGTGCACCCGCGTTGCCACCGCTGGTCGCCAATCATCGTTGCACTTTGGTTGTGTTTGTAGTCCAGTGATGACGCTCACTCGTCGCCTGGTCACAGAGCAACCGAAAGCAGGGTAATGGTGACTGGGAGCCTGGCTATGTGACTATGCTTTCCTTCTCTTGAGGCTTCTCTAGAAGCAGGAGAACGATGACTCAGCAGGCCACCGCGGAGAGACCACCTCTGGTTTGGTGAAGTGAATTAGATTAAAACTGAACGAAAGAACAGAATAGAACGGCGGACGGTAAGGTGACGAGGATAAATATCATAGATAGTCTATCTCTACATACTACTGTTATTATTGCAAGTTGGGCTGTCAACTAATATTCGCTATTCAATAAGATTAAAGGAGGTTTGCGGGAGCCTAGAATATGGTGTAAACTTCTAAGGAGCGCTAGAACTAAATGGCGCCTTTAGCCGAAGCCTCTAGACAAGATAAACGAAAGATTTGAAGTAATTGACAAACATTATAATTCGCTCAACTTTCACTAGAGACCCATTCAATTGTAAAACGACTGTGGTTTTCTATAGAAAATATGACAGAACGTCGTCGTAATTAGTGATAATAATTTGGTAGAAAAAGACCAGTATACAGGTGCAGGAACTATCAGGTGTTATTAAATTGGCATTTTATATTGAAAACGTGTTGGCGGACATTTGCAATGATTGAAAATCCTTTTTTGGTTGCCATTTATTCTTGCTTACATAGCGAATTTTGTAAGTGACATTATTGGAACACGCGTACGTTTCTTTCGCGCCTTAACGACAGTCACATCTCGACCGTCATTCCCACGCTTGTGATGCACGTTTTCCGCTAAACGCCGTCCGATAAGGCTTTTTAAACTTAACAAAATAGGCAAAAAAAAAATCGTAAGACCACCGCGTACCAGGATTAACTACGGGACATTATTTTGAGCTAGATTTTTGATTCCTGCAACTGTTTTAAAGGCCATCGTCATAGCGAGCGTTGCCCATGTATGCGGTATTTGTGCTCGCTGCTCGACCCCGCTAAGAATATCTTTCATTTCTATCTCAACCTCTGTGCGTAGAGATGCGATGACTAGCAATGGCGTCGGTATTAGTTTGTTTCACCTCGCCTCAATCTGTATATCCATCCACTTGTCTGTCTGCTGATTTGTTTTTCGGTCTATGCCCATTGGTGTTTCGTTGGTTGTGTGGGTGTGTATCAGCGCGTGTCTGTGTGTCCCAACGAGTGCCGCGTGTTGCACAAGAAGAAGCAGAAGCCCCCGCCGCTACTGCCGACACAACCGCCATCGATGTTGAATCAGAAGTCGAAGACTCGGACGGTGAAGACGAAGTTGTTGTTTGTTGAACGCCGTTGATACAACGAACAATTGTTTAATAGTACAACAAAGAATTGGCAGCAATAGCAGCATCGGCAGTGGCCTGCGGATGTTGTTGTTGCTGGCTGCATAGGGCTGAGATCGTTCGATCGACAACTCTGTCGCCCCGCAACAAGCTTTCCGTTCGCTGCCAGTGCTACAACGGCCGCTTCCTAACCGGAGTTTTGACTGTGCTAGGCATAAGCGTGAGCAGGATTGACTTTGCCACTCCGTGCATCCTGTGCACGTCGATATGCCTGTATGTGCGTAGTGTTCCGTACTTTTTGCCTGCCTATCTATCCCTGTATGTTCCTGTCTGTATGTGTGTGTGTGTGTGTGTGTGCGTGCGTGCGAGCAGTGAATGTAGCTCATTGTGCGCGGATCGGTATTGCGACGAATTCCTTTGGCAATATGGCTGCCGGTGCAGCAGATTGTCGCTGATATTGCCACTTCTGTTGCTGCTGCTAAAACTTTTATGACTGTTATTTGGTCGCTGTTGCGCTGGTTCGGTTACACAGTTGGGTTTGGACAAAATCAACGAGTTCGTCGCCACTGTCGTCGCCGCCAGTTCATTCCCCCTAGCGGTTGGTCGTCGAAATCAATGGACAGCCCGAGCAACTGGATAGAAGGGAAGACAGTTAGTAGCGTCTTCTTCATTGGCAGCACAGACACCACCGGCAAGCACAAGTGCTCTATAGCAACGCAGGATCGCTGCCGTTACCGGCGGTGATGTGATGCTGTGGCGACCGGGAAATAAAACGAGAGAAACTCAACGACAGCGGCAGGTCCGTTTTCTGCTGTTTTGACTGACCGTACGGTCGCGCGCCATTCGCCACCGGCACGATATACTGCTGAATGCTGCTACAGCTACCGCTTGAGGGACAAGCAGTGAACAAACGAACGGCATTTGATTTTCGTCGTTGTCGCCTCTTTTCCTTTCCTTCCTATTCGTAGTCTTCAACTTTGTTCGTCTTTATCGTTCTAACTGTGTGCTTCTACTGCAGTTGCCGTTAGTGCTACTAGCGGCGCTAGTGTGAGGCGCTGCGGACGCTGTTCAATTGAACTGAAGTCCTTCACTTCGTTAGAAACGAAAACGATGATAAAGGAGAAGGGAAGGTCGACAGCAAAGAGAACTAGAAAAAAAAGCGAGGAGGGGGGTCGGGACCCCAAAATGTAAGAAGATGTGGGCAGCAGATGATGGAGCGAGAGAGCTCGATGGAGCTCAGAACGAACCGAGAGAACAGAAATAGAACCAATGATTGGCCGGGCAAAGTTTATGAAGAGCGTACGAATGCGCTGTTTGTAATGTCGATGACGACGACGATTGCAGTGGTACTCTTGTTGCAGCTCGTCAGCTGTACGAACAAGAACAATTGTAGTAACAACTCGGCCAAAAAGCAATGAAATGCTGTGGCGTGGGGTCTCGTATGCTTATTATAACTGATGAATGGATGCAGACAGGAGCACCTCAGATTTGCGCTGATATCTTGCAGCATTAGTTAAAGGTAAAACAACAGACTCATTGCGCCCATGTGCGTTCTTCCCATATATGGCCAATAAAAGGATTTCGTAATAGTGTTGAACAGCATCTCACAGTTAAGTAAGCAGCAACAGTAGCAATGCTCTTTTCCTTTTTTTTTAGTATTTATGCAGTTGCTACAAAAAATAAGCTTTTTTCAAGATAAGGTGATGGTGGCTTCAAAGTGCGGAGCAAGCGAACCAAGTTACCACTAATATTAATAATGATACCGTAGGTGCTAATAGTAGACTAATACGACTGACCATACGCCATATCGCTTCCGAGGAATGAGCCGAGGGAATTAAAAAAAGAGATAAACCAGAACGGGCGGGCGAAGGAACAGAACGAACGACCTGCGCCACGGCAGCAGGCGTGCCGATTGTGATGGTAATGGCAAGAGGGTCGTCAGTCGATCGGCGCTGTTCCGATAAGGGCAACGTAAGTACCCAACACAAGTAACCGTTGATTCAGACTATAAAGGCGGCGCGCGCACGCATGGCGTGGCATTAGCAATCACGGCTGAAGGAAAGATCACTTATATTGTTGCTGGTCAGTTATGGTCCGAGGAATAACAAAATCAGCTGCGAATGAGGGCTTAAACTCGTCCGTGGGCAAAAAGCTGCCGAATTCCGGTAACAGATTTAGGCAGGCTAATGCGCGCACGTAACGGCTTACAAAACGCTATTGGATTCATGAAAAATCAACATCAGCCACTCAATTGAGTGCCCAAGTGCTGGAAAACTTATTTAAATAGCGCTCGAAATGGTGAAATAAACTGATTGACGAACTGTGGGGTTCAGTACGACTGTCCCCCTCTGTAGGGTTTTTGTACATTTCAAGCGGGCGATACTAACTCCAACATCACAGATGGGGTGATAAGAGAATAGTATGGTCATCAGGAATGGTCAACCAAACGCTCCATCACGGGTCGTGTAGTAAATTAGTAGAATTTGGAACATTGCAGAACAGCAGTCTACGTAGATATCGCTGAATGAAGACAGTAGTTCACGAATCGCCCGAAGTAGGAAAACGCTGAAGATCAAGGCTATCATTTGCTAATATTTTCATTAAACAATATTCGGATAACGAGGCTGAGGTGGAGGCGCTATTAGAATTTTGATTAAATGCTACATTGAGCCAGCCTCTTGTGTGGGTGGCTACTTTTACACAGTGCCTATACCCGCAATAGTTGTATATAGCCATTGACCAAGCTGTATTTGTACCTTCGTGGGTGTAGCCTTTCTTAAAAAATATAAACAACGTTGTGGTGAGGCAAAATTACAGGTAAAAATCGAACTGAATTTCTCATACCCAGGACAATTCCTTTTACGTTACGTAGTTAATACGTGACTGTACTGATTGCACATCGGCATTTACGCACACGCAGAGGCTTACGCTTAATATGCAAAATTCAAGCTGAAACACTTCGTACGTCGTATAACAGCTTGCGCGTACGCGTTCTGGCCAAATGATTTGATGCTTGGTGTGCCACCGAGAGCACAAATTCAGAATACCACGAAAAACGTGGAACACTGCCCAGCGCATCCCTAGCACTTCGCCCAGTTTCGAATAAGGACGAACGACATCGAAAAACTACGGGCGCAAGGCGACCGCGTCAGTCAGAGGTCAGTTTCTGAACATTTGCTTCCCTAAAGAATCACTCCAGTCTGCTCGTTGGGCCATTGAGAACGAAATATGCTATTATCACTAGATCGATAACATTCTCTGTAATATTATTAATGTTATTATTTTTATTCATTTCTAAAACAGAGACGAAAACGAAGCGTTCCCGTCAACTCCGCAGTTGATTTCATTGGCAACAAAATGATTTGGCGGCATAGAGTTCGGTAGACAGTTAACATAGAAAAGCTGAGGATAAAGAGCGATTAGCAACAATTTAGTCGGATGGTCGGCAACTTCCAGTTCGACACATTGATGAGACAGCTATTGATGAAACGCAACCTATTCTGTCTCGGGCCAAGAGCAGCAGCGGCCCCATATCTATAAGTATTCTACGTATAGCAATGCTTACTATCTATTCTAAAGATCTGTTGTTGTTGTATTTTACACGTTGTTGCACGATGGTTTTGACGCGATTAACGGATTGACTAAATGCAAATTAACGAATGAACGGAATCCGGGCGAACGAATTTTTCGTGCACAGTCACTTGTTTGATCGTCATTGGGTGATTCTTAACTCATTCATCTGACAACCACCCGTTCCTGGTTGTAGCCCTTTATTGAGTCGCGCATCGACTGCGTGCCTTGGCGATAGGACTGAGCTGGCCCGTTTGCGCTGCCTGCAAGCATGGTTTTGGATAATGGCCAGTGAAGGCCACAAGAGAAAAAATGAACAGAAGGAGGACGTGAAAAAGGATGTTCAAGAGTAGCAGAAGGAGCAGAAGTAGAGTACACCACGTGAGTTGGTGGCCTTCACTTGCTCCGTAAATGCCAAGATGGGTCATAACCACCGAATAGAACACGAATACACTCTGCTAGCAAAGACCAGAGCAACAACACATTGAAATAATACAGGATCAGTAATGGAAATTGTTAATTTTAGATGCTCGGTTTGTAACATTATTATGATTATTGTTATCAATAGGCTCATTGCTAGGTATTTTATTGCTCTTTAGGAAAAAGTGAGATAGTTCCCTGAACTGCTTGAATTAGTGTACACCTCATACTGTTCTAGTCAAGTATTCGATAATCATAAAACAAAAACAATCACTGGATAACATTAATTTTCACACGGCTTTTCGGGTTATAAAAAAAAAAAGTCAAAGCAGGCTTTTGGCAAGGCGTTCGAATGAAAGCATGTATTTTTGTAGTTTATGTGTACGTGCTGTCTCAATGTAAGAAAAAATCAGCTTGTAATAACTAAAGATGTTCCACATTATGGTGACTTTCAGACAGCTGTGCTGGCTTGTTTTCCGTCGTCTCTCCTAGACTCCAGAATGAAGGTTCGACCGAAATAGTGGAGACCCGTGTGGATCGCTAGGTGGCCAGGAATTGCCGTAAGAAACTGATCGAGCCGCTGTCAGCTGCAGACTCGGCGGCGTCGGCAAGGAATGGAATCGTGCCATGAGCCACCGATGGACCCGTCTTCCTGTCTTCCTGGTGCACCGAAGAGGGCGACCATTGTTGCACGACTCAAACGCCGCTTCGATGGATTACGCAATCACCATACTCATGTACGCAAGCTATACTCAATCTGTATAGTCTTATTATTTTTAGATCTACGAATTTCAAACAGTACGTAGTTTGCTTGTCGGTTAGCTTACAGCATACACATTTCTTGATATTGTTTACTACTACGACGTATTTAAATGGTTGTTTAGCGTGACCTTTCACCGACCAAGCGGATTCTGCTTCGTTTGCTTCGTTTACTTGGATTCTAAGTAAATTAGCTGAGAGAGGCAAACGCTACTGACGCTGAAACGATCAGTATTGCCCTAGGGGAAAAACCAAGTTTACTGGACCTAAAGTAACGGCCAACTTTGCTCAAGTGGGCGAAGCCGACGTCGCTCCGATGAAGACAGAATGTACTGATACGCGATTCAAACTCCGCTTCAACAAATATCGCACATATCGTCAACGTTGTGTACACGTGTAAGCGTTCATTCTATCAGAAACTCTGTGGAGTTTCCCTGATGTAACGCTTCCAGATACGGTCAACGTTGCATCATCGCAAACGATGTGCTTCACAGAAACGAAGACCACGTATTAAATGCTGTTGCACAGCAGAGGGAGGTATAGCTGTGTCGAAAAGAAGGCGACATTATTAAACTAGACCGACATTACTTTACGAAAAACATTGGAAGATTACATTAGAGAGTGAAATAATGCCGTACGATTCAGATGCTGCTTCGACAGGTATACTATTTTTCAAGTACATGCAGTAAAACAATGGTGGATTACTGTTATGTTTCAAAGTCAAGGCACAAGTTATAATTCATTGCATACGAAACTGAATATGACGTTCCTTGATTTTCTTCCTGAAATGGGGCGAAGTTCCGACAATATCTTAAAATAGGCCACTATTCATTGTTTTCCAAGAAGCAACGTACTTAGATGATGCTTTCTAGAGTTACAAAAGAAATGCACTTAGCCCAAGAACCTAGTTTGCTAAGGACAAGAGTAAAAACTCTACTTCTAGCCAAAAATATATCTTGGTTCTATAACATTGTTCAATACACATTGAAGTTATTATGATTATGTTATCTTTTGAAATTTAAATTCGCGCGCGTCGTGCTCAAATTCATACAGTTTGCATCCCACTTTATAAAATAATAGATTACAAATATTATACTTGATTATTGGAGCTTGTACGGAGACATTCGGTCCGTCTTCTGTCACATTTTATAGCTTGTAGCTATTTAAATTGATTCTAGTGTAAATTTAACATTGAAACGGTTCGTATGACTCTATGTTCAAAAATCACAAACCAGAGTACCCTAGACGTTATCAACTTTGCTCTTCTTTTTTTATACGTCTTTTTCATCTCGACATATTGTAAATCTTCAACGGTATCGACATTTATAAAAAAGAAAAAAAAAAGCATGCGTACCCATGATATTTTGATTAATATGCTAAACGTTTTCGGTATCATAAAAACGGCGTAACGCTTGTAAATAAGTGGAGTTACTTTTTTATTGTTTAAATTTTTCAATGAACACACGGTTGTAGACTCACAATGTATTCGCCTTTTGTTGTGCATATTTATGCAGAGCAATGCGCATTACCAACAGAATGCCGAGTATCAGAACAACCAGACGCGTGAGCACACTCTGCAGTTACAGCAGCGTTACTGCGATCCGAAGGCGAAAAAATCGAAGAAAGACAAGGGACCGATGGCGACCGCCGGAGCTGGCGGGATTGCGGTCGTCGGTCATCCAGGGGCAGGTCCGGGCGGTCTTGGTGGACCTATAGGAGATGCGATGGCAGTCCAACAGAGAATGCTATCGCAAGGTGCAATGCCAGGATCCATGATGGGCCCCCAGGGTTCGCATCAGCAACAGCAGCAGCAGCAGCAGCAGCAACAGCATTTACAGCACCTAAGCAATCCTCAGCAGCAACAACAACAAACACAGCAGCAGCAGCAGCAACCACAGCAACAACAGCAACCAGATAGCAGTAATGGGCACAAAATGATGGTAAGTTCACATAACCACTTTAGTCAAACTTGAAATTATTTTTAAAATTGAAAATTGCTTATATAGTGCTAGTCTTTTCCTTCGTTTAAAGTTTGAAGAACATGATAGATCGATTATGCGCATACGAATGCCATGAAGATCATTGTATTTCTCTGCCAGATAATAGTGTCCATAATATAATAGGTACACTGTAATTACTTGGTTTTATGTGTAGTGTACATAGTAAAGTTAGTAGCCCCATTGGTTGTCTATTGACCGTACAATTTTCATGACTCTTACCTTCGTTGTTATTGGATTATAATTTTTTCATTCCGCATAAAGAATGGCGATTTTCTAAAGCAAATTTTGGTTTATTTTTCCCTACAAGCCAAGTGCAAGGTGCCAATAAATGAGAGCTCGCTTTGTAGATACTGGATATATTCCTGGAAACCGCCTATTCTTATTCTGAGGGTTTGTATTCTATTGAAACCATATAACGTACATTTCAGTACATGAGGATATCTACCGTCAAACAAATCGCATTTAATATGCAGCATTTATTTATATATTTAATCAGAAGTAGTTTCTTAAATTCAAACATCACATTCTTATGCTAAATCTAGAAAGAATTCAAAAGGTCAACCTTTCGAATTTACTGAAGGTCACTTCGACCTAATCTCGAACAAGCATTTTTGAAAAAAACTAAACAAATTGAAAAGAATTGAACATTCGATTTTTTGTCACCCAATAGAGCAAGAACGTCAGATAAACTTGTGCGATCTAGGTAAAACGCCGGGGGTGTACATATAATGTTAGCACATCAACGAAAAAAAAAAACAGGAAAAGGAAGCAATAAACAAAAACGTATATCACTTATGTATCAATCTTACACATGCACATTGACAGGAACGAGACAAAGCAAAGGAATAATCTAAACGGAAGAATAATACCAATTTTTTGTATGAATGACATGCAATTTGAAAGCTTTAGTAGAGATTTTAGGGACAGGGCGTAGAGGTGGTCCGTTTTTTATGGAGAGAACTAACCATCTACATAAATGCTTTACGGCAATGGCAACTCGAATAATCTTAATTTTAACAAATATTGAGAGCTGCTGATGTGGAGGTCTTAGACCTTACATTGTTTAGTCCTAATTTAATCGGGCCTTACTTCAAATCTCTGGAAAAAATCAGGTTGACACGGGAGCTGAAGGTTGGAAACGAAGCAACGCTTTTCGATATTAAGCCTGAGAGAGATGCTATTCATAACGGTTTTTTAACAGTATGGAACATTATATTTTGCGGATGTTCGAAAAGCGCTTACTCATGGATGGCAGTAAGAGTGGTCAAGTTAACTCTCTGTTCGCTATGCCCTAAAGTATTGGGTTATATAGTAACCGACAGCTATATGAAGCAGCGGAGGCCACTGTCGGCTCGCCAGTGCAGCAGCTTTCGAAAGAACGCGCAAAGTCCCGTCAAGCGGCGGCGGCGGCGGCAGCGGCGGCGGCGGTGGTGGTGGTGATGGGACTTCCGCGCAGTTGTTGTTATCGTTCTAGTCCCTGCTGCTGCTGCTGCTGAACCGTTCTTCATTCGCCTTTTACCCTCCTCGTTTGCTCATTGAGCGCTGCCTGTCATGGCTAACACATATAGGGTGCTTCGTCGGGATTGGCAGGCTTCATCTGATCTGTTGTAGTCCCGTTGTTCCGCTTGCCTAGCTAGCGTTACATGATCTTCACTTCGTGTGTTCATCTGGGGAGCTTCGTTGCCCTGTTTTCTTATCCCACTTCCTCCAGTTGATTTCTTGTGGCCCCACTGCTCCGGCCGCTCACTTCCCTTTAAGATATTTCTCCTGATCCATCCGTTGGAATGTGCTGTCGCTGCTCTTCTGACTCGCATTCGCGTATATGTCCACCGCTGTGCTCGGCTCGACCAACGCAACGGTTGGGAATATAGACTGTTGCACCGTCGAGCAGTGAGCGGGCAGGCCGCTACTTTATCTGAATTGTCCGTTGTCGGCGGCAGCAGCAGCATCGCAACGGCATCAACCAGCCTTACCACTGGCACAATCTGGGTTCGTGCCGCATTCCCGTCGTCGGAGTGGCGTTTGTCTATTAAGTCGTATTTAGACGGACAAACGAACTGACTGACTAGCGGAAAAAATAGGGGAAAGAAACTTCCTAGTCGAAAGAAGTGGCAAACATGATTCGGAAGGGGAGCTGTTTTTAAATTGCTTCATTATGCTGAAGCCATAACTCCATGGCCACAATTTACGGGAGCCTGGTGTAGGAGTTTTTTTTCTATCAGACGATGGACGATGCAGAAAAAGATCTTTGCAGGGGACAGAAAGAAAAACCCTGTACTAGAACGGTTTGGATGTTGTTGCTCGTGTCTTCCGTTACATTCACTCGTTCATTCGCGGTGTTGTTCTCAGCACTGCATAAAGAAATTTGTGCATGTGATTCGACAGGTAGGGTATGAACGAGCAGGTAAACCTGAACATATGTAACCTACGCCTACGTAAGGCGCCTGCGCAGTAGTGAACATTAGAAGCCAGATACAAAAAATGTTCTCGTGTGTCGTAGAACAGAATGGTTTATCTTTCACTTGCTAATTCGCTCGAGTTTTCATAATAAGCGCTTTTATAAAATTACTAAAGCGTGCCCATGTTACTTTAACGAAATGGTATTTAAATATTTAATCTCGTCAAGGCTGATAGGCAGCATGGTAATTTGTAGTCTGTTGCATTTATGGCATATACGTCAAACATGATAAAGTTATAACGTATTTTTAATGATTGTTTTGCAATTTTGGCTTGTTTCTTTGTTACAGCATATGCAAGCAAAACTCAAAGCGGAAATAGGATTAGGCTCGCCGATGGCGCATACGCCTCCACAACAACAAGGACGGCAGACACCACAAAGTGATCGACTAACGCCAGGATTGGACATAAAGTGTTCTCGCAGTAGTACTCCAGATGCACGGGGATGTGATAAGGGCGCGTTAGAAGACTTGCTTAAAGGTGCACCTCCCCGTATTAAACAGGAACATTCAGGAAGCAACATGGACGGTAGAGCGCCCTTCCCAGGAAGTAGCTTTGTCAAGCCAGAACCACAGAACTTCGGAGGGCAAATGGTAGCCCCGCAACAGCAGCAGGTGCAGGGTAATGATTTCCTGTCAGATTTTGCCGTCGATTCTCTTAATCCTGACGTGTTCCGAGATCTCATTCTCGAGGTAGCGGATGGAGCTGGCGGTGACTTCATGGCCGAATTTAACTTCGCCGACGTGAACTCCTCGACATTTGAAGCACCTGGGCCACCTGTTTCGAAGGGCCCTTCTGCCCCCCAACAGGCTCAGCAGCCTGCACAACAGCAAGGGCATCCATCTCAATCGAACCGCCCTGTGCCAAGCCCTCAATCGGTCCCTAGCCCAGCGGGGCAAAGTGGCCCCGCGAGCAATAGCAACACTGCCTTTGTACATAGTCCACGACCGCCACCTTCGCCACAGACGCAGTTTGGACCTCGTAGCACTGATTCTCCCAGTCAAAGTCAATCTGCCACGACGGCTTCGTATCCAATGGCGTCGAGTCCTCGCGGTGCGACGCAGGCACAGCAAAACCAGATGAACCAGATACCGCGAAGTCCTGCCATGATGCCAATGGGCAGTCCTCGTCCTGTTCCTAGCCCCCTCCCACCTCATATGATGGCGTCCGCTGCTAGTCCACAGCAACCTCAGCAAAATCAACAGGGTCCACCTCCTTCACAACAAACTGCCAGTAATGCCCATGGGTCAACCATGGCAAATAATTCGCAGGCGAGAGCCAGTCCTGCCCAAGGATCTGGAACCGTAGGGTCAAATATGCCACCCGGAAACTATTCCCATCAACAAGGACATCCTCAGGGACATGCTCATCAACAAGGCCCACCACCCGGAGCCAGACCGCCTATGTATCCTGGTCACCCGGGCCAAGGACCCATAGGTGGACCCAATAACACCTCTCGAAATGGGCAAGCTACACCTCCAATCGGTTCAGGTGGACATTTCGCGCCTGGACAACAGAACGGTCCAGCGTCGCAATCAGGAGGGCCTGCAGCTTCACTATCGCTCAAGCAGATGGCGGAGCAGCATAATAAACCCATGACGCCGCAGGGACCACCGCAAGGGCCCTATCAAGGCGGTCCATCGACTGGAGGAGGTCCGAATGGCGGTGTCAGGCTTCCAAACCAAGCGACCTACCCGCTGGCACAAACGGGTGGTCCTTACCCCAATCATAGCAATGCTATGGTTATCCGTCAACAGCAACAACAGCAATCTAGTAGTAACCCTATGTACGTGCAATCAGGCCACCATCAGCAACAACAACAACCTCAACAACAGTCACCTATTCAGGTCAACATCACGGTGGTGGGAAGTGGAGTCGCACAGCAGCCAAACATGCCGCAGCAACAACAGCCTCAACAACAGCAGCAGACAGGACATATGATGCAGCTACCTGGTGGAAGCAATGGTGTTAACCCTATGATAAACCCCAACCAGATGGTCCAACAGCAGCGGCCACCGCAACAACAACAAATAGGGTACGTAAGCGAAAAAGACTTTTGGTCATAATATGTGTGTCAGTGTTTAGAGAACAAGCCATTGAGGTATATTATCCGCGCTCAAATTGCCAACTTCGACAACATTGAAAGTATAGAAATATAGTGATCGGCAGCGTTTTGTTTTATCAAATCAGTTAACCAATTTCGTCGTCTTTCTAGCGATACGTTTACGAAACACGGCCACTGTTATCGCTTCATTGAAAATCTCTCACTCAGTAGTCGTGCCACGACAGATATTAATTGATGGCGAAGCAAAAAAATGTCTTGCTTGAAGTAATTTTCTTAAGGCCTAAGTGACGCGCTACATTTGCCATGAGTACTCGTTACTTTAGCAGAGGTAGGAACGTACGAAATAAGGCAGGAAGTGGAACGGCAAGCACAAGAATCATCTGTAATCAGTCAGATTCTACCTTGAGGACCACAGTAATAGTGCGGACTATCACGATATCAGACTCGTGTTGTAGAAAAGAGTTTATAGTGGATGTACATTTAAATTAATTATCTTATACTTAAGAGCTGACTACTGAAGTTATCATTAATTGTTCAAATTTTTACTTGGCTATTGAGTATATACATTTTAGAAGCCACTCGTAACGCTTAATTAGCCTTTAGAGATGCATTTAAACGGAAAAGACTATGATCATTAGCAGGAACTAGGTTAGAATATGGTATGAGTTGTTTTTCATCTCGTAGTTTAGTGACGGCTTACATATAATAACTAAAATCTTCCGTAATTTGTACTTAGGGCGAACTCACAATTGCACCAGCGATTATCGGAACCCATGCGGCAAATGGGCCCTGTCGGTCCACATCAGGGTCCCATAAAACCCGGAATGGGACCGCAAATGTTTCAGGGTCAACTGGGGGTTCAAACGCAACAGAATCTCCCACAAGGCCGGGGGCTAATGGTTGGAACAAGCGGGCCAAGCGGGCAAAGCAATCAGGGAAGCATACAACCATCTCCAATGGGTCAAGGACCCCCTCCAATGTACAATCAGCAACAACAGCAACAGCAGCAGCAGGTCCATCAACAACAACAACAGCTGCAACGGTTACAACTAGCGCAACAAGTGGCCTTCCAGAACAGACAAATGCACCATCCTTCGCCTTCTTCGTCTCAGCAACAACAACAACAGCAGCAGCAGCAGCAGCAGCAGCAGCAACAGCAACAACAACCGAGACCTTCGATGGCCGCTAACCACGGCAACGTCGCCGTTGTAAATCCTTTACAACAACAACAGATGTCACAACAGCCAGTGGTTAGTAATTCATACTAATATATTAATATTAATGGACGCATTGTATATATATAATGCATGCACCTCTATGAAACTATTTCTATCGTATCTATTACTCAGTATTGTTCTAATACGCTGCGGAGACAAGCTGGGTTACAGTGATGAAATACGTACGTTGTCGCAAAAACTCTTTTGACGCTGTGCAAGTTATATTTGCTAATCAGGCTTAACTAAATTTCTAGATGAACAACCAACGAGATCCAAAAATGTCGCCTCTCAATATATCTTCGAACCCGTCATATGCTGAAGCTTTAGCCTTTAGCAGTGGAAACACGACCAGTGGATCAGTGATGATGCAAAATGGCTCCGGAGGGCCTATGGGACCACAGGCAGGACAGTTTCGGCCAACGGGTGGGCCTCAGGGTCCTGGTCATCCAGGGCACTCAGGCGGACCATACCATCGATTTGCTGGTGGCCCACCTCCAGACTATAATAATGTCGCTTCCCAAAGGTAAATTTTCAAAATAGCTTGCTTTCCTGACCTAAAAATTTGTACAGATACACAACAAGCTTGAGTGAATGACCTTTTAGAATCAGCATAGGTCTGGGTACTGTCTATGAGATGTGTGAATCATTGCCATCGCGTAGTGACTAAAGTTCCCGAATTTGCCTAATAAAACTATTTAAGCTGATGTTCCAGATTTCATCATTTCCCTTCCATTTGTACTTTTATTACTGTTTCGCTATCTATATATCAATTATTTATATGCTTCTGCTTTTGACAAATAAAAAATGTTCAATCTCAATAAATTCGCTTACCCAGAATAATCGAACGACCTGGCAAGTGACGGACGAACTAACAAAATGAACACCGCTTTTTTATAAAACGCAGGATGCCGCCACGGCCAGGAATTTTTGGGACTCAAGCTGTACCGCAAGCGCCTCCTATGCAGGGTTCGTGGCGACCGTCAAATCAGGGTATACAAGGACCTGCTATGGGAGGACCGACTATCACTCATATCCAGAACCACCAGTCACAGCAGCAACAACAACAGCATCCACAACAGCAGCAGCAGCCGCCACAACAGCAGCAGCAACAGCAGCCGCAGCCACAGCATACTCAGCACCCACAGCATCCTCCAGGTCCACACTTTCAACCGCAACATCAACGGGTACAACACCATTCGATGCAGCAACAGCACGTCACGCATATGCCGCTACAACAACAACAACAACAACAGCAACAGCAGCAGCAGCAGCATCAACTAGGTATGAAATTATACGTTATATATTATATATATATATATATTATATAAATTATATATTATATATACCTAGGTAAGTATTAATTCGCACCAACGAGAGCTCTCGTCATTGTTATGAGCGTAGAAAAAAGCTGACCCCAAATAGCTTTAGTCAAATCTATAAATAATATCAAATAATAAATAAAATATCAAATAAAAATCGCTGTTAATACATATAAAAACATATGCCGTAGTTTCTATTTCGACACGTGTGCTCACAGCATACGGCATACAATGATGTAAAATTTCGTTTTTCAATATTCACTAAATCTACAAACCACAATAACGTGTTGAGTTGAAGATCGACATCAATGTTTGGAACTAGTTGTTTGACAACAAACAACGCCTGCACTCTTGTATTTTAACTTCATTAATTTACCGCTATAAGCGTGGTCTTTTTGTTTGTCACTAATTATGTTGTCCGTAGGTGCTGGTATTATGCGACCCATGGGTTCCGGCGTTTCTCAAGGAATTCCTCAAAGTGCGCCTTCCGGACCAGCTAATCAGTTTCCTATGGCGAACAGTGCGACGGGCCCCCGAATAAACCAAAACAGTTCAATGAATACTTCAAGTGGATCGATTGATCTAAACAACCTCGACTTCCTCGATTCATTGGATACGGCAGGCGACTTCAACTTCGATTCGACAGGCGCAAATATTCTTGATGACGTCCTTGGGACAGCCAACAGATGAGGAACATATGCAATGGTATCGTTCTTAGCGCACCGGTTGGATTAAGGCTCAAGAGAGCAGGTTGCAAAATTTTTGTGCCTAATAGGTGTCGCCTAGCCTAGTACGAATGATAGACGATGTGCTGGCCCTGAACCCTATCTCTCAGTCAATCCAAAGTCAACAATTCATACACGGCAGCTTTCCTATAGTGGCTGTTCGAAACGCATCTCATTTTAAATGTAGCCGCGTTTAACAACGTTTTAGGATGGCTAGTCCAGTGCACTCTCGCGATTCTTGTTGTTGTTGTTATATGAACGAATCTTTATGAAAAACTTCATTGGAAGATCATGGTAGCAGCAAGTTACTCAGTTCTCATCGTATGCAACTAAGCAATATTAAGTTAATTGTCAGAATCACCTGATCTGTTGTACAGGAAGTTTTTGGTCTGTCATTCATCTACTTGGTTTGATGGAAGCTCTTATAGAAATCATTTTCAAAGAAGGTAAATAGCCAAAGAGAAAGTAGTTCTAATATGTTTACATTATGTTTACGGGATTAAGAGCAGAATGGGAAACACATCCGATTCCGAAATGTCATATTAACAACAAATTTCCTGTAGGCGCATGTTTACCATCAAAACAGTTTTTAAGACAAACAATTTTATCATATTCTCCCTACCAACGATCTACATACAGTACCGATACGACCCTTGGGTTCAGCGCAGAATCTCCACTATGAACCGATTTTATCGTAGCATACATGAAATACGCGCTTTTCGTGCCAAAACAAAGCTTCATTTTAACATTAGTGCGTCATCGTCGCCTAGGATTTACGTCACACGGTTTCGCGTCTGATAGTGTAACTAACTTTTATGAGAGCACTACAATCAACCATAGAGGAAAATGCAATAATTGCTGAAAAGGTAGGCAGGATTTAACGTGCCAGTGTAGCCCGTATCATACGTTTGTTGCCTTATCGATCGCCCGAGACATTGATCAATCAGCAGTTGAACGAGTGTGTGGTATATATATATATATATATATATATATATATATATACAGAATGTGTTCGTGTCGAGAAGGGACACAGTTGTTAACGAAATAGCTTTGATTACTGAATACCGACACACGGATCAACTAACGCTTACTACCGAACGAACAAATTCTAGAGTGCGTTTCGTCTCTATTATCATCATCATTTCATCACTGAATAACAACAAGAAGGATATTTGTTAGGGGGCATGTGCCACTAGGTGGGCCGTTGACTCCTCTAAGGATGTTGCCAGGTCTGGCCATCATAGTACGACTACGACTCTTTGCTGTTGCTGCGTGACTAATGCAAAGGTAATCTGGTTAGGTCTGTGTATTCTGCCTGCGTGGCGTGCGCGTTTGGAAAATAGCAAATTGTTCATATAACGATAAATAAAAGATCATAAAAGAGACAACTGAAAAGTGTCAGCCAAATAGGGTACTGGGCCTCTGTGATATTGACTCAGTTGTAACACCTAACAGCTCGACGGCCAAATACGATCACACTTTCAAGCCTATATCTATACATGAAAGATGAACAGTAATAATGATAATATCTATGGTATATATATATATATATATATATATATATATACATGTGTAGAGAGGTACACATGCTGGCATACTTTCAATGTTGATGATGGTTGCGGCAAGTGCTGTTTTTTTTTCTTTTATTGCCGATATCACCATTGCTACCGTAAGTTTTTTTTTGACATAAACTATTTTCCTTGTTAATGTAATTTTCCAATTATATCTTTACCGTTGCCAGTGAACCGCACTTAAATACCAGACTAGGACGTACTCTTTTTCTCCTTACTCGAAATGGCCGACATTAACCGACGTGTGTCAATGGTCCGTCGCGTAAACTTAACTTATGTATACATATAATATATTTGCGACTCCTTTCGCGCCTCCTGCAATTTTGGAGCTATTTAAGGCCTATTTTTGTATGAAATTCTGAATATTGTATTTTAATTTTGCATACTAAATATAATTGACTAGTTTTTAGCCGCGAAAAAAAAAAGCTATATTATTATTAGTCCTTCTTAATTATTAATAGCTTATTTAATTTCGTATATCAGTGTTAAAATTATCATTGTTAATATTGAAGTATTGAGTTCTGAATGGAAAGCGGATGAACGAACGAACAATCATAAACGCGTCTTCCTCAATGTCTCATACCGATGTGTGACTTCGATTTGAAATTCAGCTCATGATATTTCCGAATATTATTCATTGAATGAGAATATATGCACACCAGCTTTGCATGTCGGTAGTAATATAATTACCATATTCGTTAGTTTGGACTTAATTTTTCTTTGTTTTATATGTAAATAGGTGTAAATTGCTTTGACAAATACGGAGAGCAGTATCTGGAAAGGTGTTTACGTCGCGGTGTTTCTAGCTTCGTCTGTAAATACTTATACATACAAAACGGCCGTGACGTGACAAACACTTCCAGGAAATGGGAATGTAACGAAACAAGTTCAATTGTGCAAACATTTCACTCGAAATCGATAATATTTGTTGGTTTAATCTTTTATACATTATATTCGTCTTTTGCCAATCAGCCCCCGAATAGAAAACTGGTCTTGGACCGCTTTCGGCCTATTCGAATTAGCCCGCCCTGTTACAGACGGCGGGAGCGGCAGCCGTTCGAAATTCTTTATACGAAAAACGCAGCCCATCGTTTGATCGTCGGCCTCTCATACAAACATCGATAGAAAATCGGAGTATTTTTGAAGGTCTACAGTTTTTAAAATGTGCAGCAACATAATAACAATTGTATGTTCGCGGATCAACGCCCATACTTCGATGTACCAGTTTTAGAAAGGTGAGGAAATGTTTTATCGATCCATTCAAAAGGGCGGTAGAAAAAATAATAGATTGACTGCGCAGGGGAGCGGGGAGGGGTTATGACCGGCTTAGCGTCGAAACCATCGGGTATTTGCTAGCAGTAAAAATAAAAGATCATGATTAACACTAATAATAGTTGAAAGCATACCCACAATTTCGATAACACGAATTGTAATAAAAAACCAACTGCCTCTATGCAAATATATATATATATATATATATATATATATATATATATATATATATACCTAAAACTATACATCAATAAATGAATATACTGAAACGAAAAGGGATCTTCTCGCAAATAATAGTAATAGTAATGTCACGATAATGTAAACGCTATTTTTTGAATGTATTTTTTAGTGGCGAGAATTACATTATGATAATAATTATATACAACGAATCAAGCAATGCAAATAATGTGTAAATAAAGAAAAATAAAACTACAGTTTACCCTACATACGCAATCGATGTGCTTGGTTATTGGCTAGCTATCTTTTAGGTTAGTTTTTTTCTTTTAGGACGGTTATCAGTTTAGGCTTAAGACAGCTGCTACACAAATAACCGTCATTTATTTGCATCTTTGTCAGATACGTGCAGAACTTCAACACAGTAATGCTCCAAATAATTATAAAAAAATTATCCCGTGTTGTTGAAATACCGTGTTTTATAAATATGCACGTGCCAGGCCATTGATTGAGGAGTTCGAAAGCATGGACCTCCCTAGCATCGCAGATGTCGTCAACTGTATCTGGAAGCATGAAAGTCACACGGCATAATGAAACTTTACGTGATAAGTTACGTGACGAGTCGGTACGTGTTGGTCGGCTAGCCTTCCCGGCATAAATCGTTGTTGCTTCCGTTTGGTGATATTTCGGTCAATATAACACTTGGTAGAACATATGCCCTCATATTTTCTTTTGGCAAACCACATTTTCTTTCTTAGAATATCTAATAACTCAGTACTTTTTTTCCATTGCAAGGGTATATGTATTACGTGCGCCCAATCGAGTCGTTCCATGTGCAGCTTGACTAGAGCAAAAGATTAGCCGGAATATTTAGAACTATAATGTGGTTGAGTAGATTACCCCTAAAGAAGGCGCCGGTATAGATTGTACAGTTCACTCAACCAAAGTGTCCTTTTTTCATACATTGCCAAAAACGGGATTTATGACGCCGCTCATATTACTTGTTTGAAGAATCTAAAGTATCAAAATGTCATCACGGGGGTTTTCTTTTGTTATTGATAAGAAAAAAATGATCGCATCGTTTCTATACTTTGGCCATTGCGCGTCCGAGTGGCTCTTCGAACCGAATTTGTCACTGCGACTATGCTCGACCATTTGCTTCCAAAAAAAACAAAAAAAAACTCCAATAATATGTTAGTCTGATTTATGTAAACACGGGGAAGCACTGATCTGGTCTAACCATTTGCCCAAGATTTGCTGCCCAAAAAACAGCGCATCGCCAAACGACCCATAATGGCTGGCGCCGTTAAGTCGAAACCCACATTTTTTGAACAAATATTTTAAGTGACATTGAGCAAGGATCCGCGAAAAAGAATACTAGGTCAGCCCAAAAAGGCGGTTTTAAGGTCAGCTATAGCAAAGGCCCGTTAATGTGTAGTGGAAGATACGGACGTCCGTAGAATAGAAGATACGCGTAACATCTTTACGTCGTGTAACAGTGTGAATTGACACAAGCGTTCGATAATGAAGGAGCTTTTTTTAAGGACGTTGTTTCGACTAGGAATCGGAGATGAAGACTAGAATCAATTATGTTTCAGAATCTTTTCTGGACTACGCAGGAGTAATGCAAAAAATACCGGCAAATTCAGAAATATGAACCCATTCTTAAAATTGTAAAGCTAATAAAAATATGAAACGGGTAAACAAAGAATGGCTAACCTTTACAGATTAGCTAGTAAAAGCTCTATCGATCTGTTTTTGCTCAACGTAGCATTACTCGTTAATGATCTAAAGTGGGCGAGGCAGTCATTTAGCATGGCACAAGCAAACAACCAGTTGAAACGGCCATTAGCCGTAGACAAAAGGTCCTTCCAGCAATAGAAGCGCAGAATTTCTATACGATTCTATTGAGCGAAACTGATAGCGATAAAATGAAGATACGATTATGTGAGCATTATTGGAACAACGTTGGGTCCGACGGAGTCTTACCAAGCAGAAAACTGAGCAATGAATGGCAGTATGCACCGATATGTCATGATCAGTAAACAGTCACCTAGTTGACGTTGAATCCCCTCATATGTGGCACGCTTACAACGCAATACGCTTCCAGCGTCCGATAGAACTCTATAGGTGGAGCCTGCGTTCACGGTTCCTGTGGATTCAGTGTTCCGTCATTATGGGGTTTGAGTGAAGCACATTAAATACTTATGCGAGCTGCAATCAGCGGTCGAATCGATGACAAGACCGACATTTAGAGGAATACTGAAATGACGCAGTCTTTGTTATTACTCTACTGCCAATGGAAAACTGACATTTATGTTTTTCTAGATACTTCGATTGTATCGTCTACCTGCACTCATCAATCGGAAATTTTGCGTAAGTCAGAAATCATTTACTTTGCTATTTATGACTTGGCTAAAAGTCATCCCAATTCGCTTATTGTGCTCCATTGCTATAACAGCACAGCTCTGATAAATGTAAAAAAAAAAGAAGGATATCTAATTAAAACATCTATTATTTGCGGTCGTCTAATGGCCGGATTTGCGTGGACAACTCCCCATGAAGAGAACATGGCAAATTCATTTCTATATTTTCTATAATATCAAACAGGTTAATATCGTCAGCCAGTGAAGTGCTTGTGACACTGGAGTGGAAAACCAAACGAAGTAGTAATAGCATGAAGTGATAAGGTGAGATGAAATGGTTGGATCACGTTCGTTCTCCACCCGAACGACTTCGCATTTATAGTTAATGGTTTAACGTCTGCCACCGTTATAGGCTGATTTATAATCAGGGTAGATAGAGGTCAACATTCTGGTTAATGTCTAAGTTGTATCTACTATTCGAACTTGAAAACGAGACCGGTCTACTCGTGTGGGAAAAGGATACGCTAACAGCTCCATCGGTTTTGATCGTTTCCGGCAACGATATCTGGGCGAGATTAATGGCAAAATTCTGCCTTTAAAAAATTATACACACACACACAGACTCGTCTATATTCTCGTAATATAAGCGGTTTTCGTACTTTAGACTTTTTCCAAATCTCGAATTTCTTTTGTTGAGGTGCTACGTTGATAGCCACCTGAGTTAACGTCTAGTTACGTGCTCTATTACCAGTTGTGGCTTCAGATATGTACATTTTTTTTTATGTAACACATTATTACAATGAAATTTATCGTTTCTTAATTAGACCGTACGAAGAACTCACGATTTTGAGGTTTTATGCTTATTCGTAATTCTAGCTTGTTTGGATATTTCCAGTACGCCGTCTCCGGTACCTATTCTTTGCTATATTGCTCAAAAACAGTAATGTCGTACCTTTACAAGCGTCATGTCTCATAGCTGTCGTAAGACCTAAGCGAAACTTCTCAATTCTAATATTTCTACATTGTTTTCTGTATTTGGTCCTTCGCTATTGCTTGTTTCAGTATGACGCCGACGATTTTAATTCACTCTAATCGCTTCCGATCGCATTATCACACGTTTATATCTCTCGTGCGCAGCGCTTTCGCGTAAACGTCTTAAAGGTTGACGCGCTAGAATACGCCATATAATGCCGATATTGTATTATTATGAACGTCCTTAACTTTTAAGGATTCCGAGAGTACATGAATATTATATGTTACTACTAGTGGTTATTATCGGTGTAATAAAAATATTGGAATTTCGCTAATTAGGGACTTGAAATGTAGACAATCTTCTAGATAATAGCGTAGTTTAATCGTGTCCGATGAAAAGGCAAAGTGTTTAAACTCCCACAAACCTGAGGCCATGACAAAAACAGCACGGCATGGTATTAGAGAGATATCTAATTATTATTCTATATTTAGAAAAATCCACTTCTGAAGATAAACTATAAAAGCGGTCTGAGCTCTTAATTTGCTCGTAGCAAAAGTAAATTCTGCAACGTTCTTCTCGCATGTATAATAATAAGAAGCTATTATTATCAGGCTTATATCTGCGGGAGCAGGGAGAAGAAAATTTTGACTAATTACGTTGTGATCAAAAAGAGGAAGACCGTATGTTGAAATGATACGTAACGACAACTCGAAGCTCATGGTTATCCATGGAAATCGTAAAAACTAACTGACCCTCTTAGCATTAAATCTTGCCGACAACGCTTCGACATAATTCTATCAGTACCTTGGAGTATAACTTTAACAATATATTGCTTCATAGATTGTAGTTACGGCACTTCAAGAGGTCACGATACTTTCAGATGCATTCGGCTTAGATTATCTGATAGGATAAGGGACATAACATGGATGTAGCAAATAACGCTCTAGTACAAAATAATGATGTAAGAATAGAGAAAATTTCAGCAACTACTGTGACGGTAGATATTATATGTGAGTATGGAAAAAAATGTGACGTTTCTCGCTATAAGAAAGCACGTTTTCGATCGAAAGTCGATCAAGTCTGTTGTTACGTTATGTAAGTGTTCAATCAAGCTACAGAGATGCCTATTTTCCGAGCGCATCACCGAAGATATACACTACTAACAAGTTAAGACGCCTTACTGCTAGCCACTGAAAAGCACCGGTAAACTAGGACGAACTTCATCTAGGTTTTTGTAGCTGGAAAAAATTATTATTTAGATCAAAATGGTATATTTATTTATGATTTGAGTGTGTATTTTTCCAGTTCATACACTCGGCACAGTAGTACGATCATAAAAACAGCAGCGTGAGTTTACGAGCATAGCGCTCTTATTATAGCTAGACAAGCACTTAATGAATTTATGTGATGCCTACCATTGTACGTGGTCATGTCCGTACCCTTTCGATGGATTTTCGTGGCAGGGCCGCTACCAGTGCCAATGGCCAACAGGTGACATTGAGATGGAAGCACGCAGTTTAATAAGTTTGTTCGAAGGTTTTCAAAGCGAAGAAAAATAATTGCTTTTGAGTAAATGATATGTCTATATCGTATAGTCAGATGGACGATGATGTTTAGACATTATGGACCAGATGATTGTACGATACGTGCCTATATGGAAGAAACAATTCAATTACGTAAAGTGTTGTGGGTACGATGACAATAGTTTTCACAGACGAACAGATCTCAAATTGAGGATGGACTTTTTTGTTTGTCACTTCTTATAATAAAACACACTCTAGACTGGATCGTGTAACATTATTAGTTAAGGTGAAATTCAGACAGACAATTGTCCATTCAAGTACGATTTATAAACACAGTTCATTGTAAGCGAGCTGAGGATGCAGATTTACTGTTCACCTTTTCCTTCCAGAAACATCTTTTCTCCTATTCTGTTTTGCTTCGAATAAGCCATTTGTATAAGCTATTTGCCCAGCGATGCTGCTGTCGTTACATCCTCATTCGATTAACAGCTGCAGACAAAAATGACAGAATTTTATTCTGGTGCTGGAACTCCTGCGTTGTTCCTTCTTTCTACTCATGGCAGGGCTGCCAGCGATCCGTCGGTTCTATTGATCTTTCATTCGCTCCCTTTTACGTACTGTGTGTAGCTGCAGTAGCAACCACAATCTAAGATGTCGTATTCTCGCCCGTTTTATGGGGGTCATTATATCAGGTCTATGGCCATTGAACCTCACTACCAGCCGGGTAGCGTCCGCCCACGGGCCCGTAGCGACTAAGCCGGTCGACGTCAACTTCACAGACTATCAAGCAACAGCGGTTGCTCGATCCCCAGCAGCTCGAAAATAACTCCACAACAGTCCCCGAGCGCGAAAGACAGGCGCTGCACGCGGCGGGCGTGCGCCCGTTCGTTCGACCAGATGGTTATGACTTATCCCTAGCGACGAAGCTGTTGCTAGATGTCTTGGCAATCCGTCTATTCTAGTTAGGGAAGCTTGCTCCTTTTCTATCCCCCTTCCCCTTCCCATTCACGACTTTGTGAAAAGGTGATACCCCATAGTCGACGCGGTCAAGTCAGTCAAGGGTTCTGGCCCCCTACCGGCGTCGCTGCCGTACACATCACCAGCAACAGCAGAAGCGGCGGCGGCGGTAGTTAACGGCATAGACGCGTCGACCGAAATGAAAACAACAACGAGCGCGACAGATCGATGAGAAACAGCTAAGAGTAAAAGACAAACGCCAAAAAATATGATAATAAATGTAGACCCTTGCCAACCCAATTCAGTGTACGCTAGTAGAACAAATATCTTCTACTGCTACTACATTCATCGGCAACTGCTCACTGCAGACATACCTTTGGACGCGTATATACGGCGGACAACCTTTTTTCGACCGAATGAGTAATACAGAAGAAGCTCTATGAGACCTATTTCACAGAAGCGAATAATGAGAAATCTCAATGTGACGTTTACAAAATTTTGTCACGTACGTACTAAAGGCAGGGTGCAAGTTTTATGGTTTGTACCCTCGGTAGCCTACCGAACTACGGCAGCGATTCGGATTGCTACTAAGTACTGGATAGGTTTTGGCTGTTTCCAGTGAAGACCCGTTTAAACAGACTTAGTGACACACGATACACGACAATAGCAATAACACGTAGCTTGGGAGTGAACAAGCTCAACGTTGAAGGATACCCAGCGGACCGGACCTTACCGTGACTATGGAAAGCCGGATAGCTTGTCTGCCGCGTCAAACTTTCTCCCAGTGTTAAAACGAATCAATCACACATTTAAGCTTAATAAGCCCCTTGGTTTATTCAGTATCCTAAAAAGAAGAAGTATAATTAAATTTAAACGCTTAATTAATTCACGCACGAGAGAAGAACTATATGAAGGCAAAGTGTGCCAATGCGGCTAGAAAAGTGTCTTCTGTATACCATTTGTTTTGTCTTGCGTACCGAGTCTCCGATCGTCTTCTTTTGCCAATTCATAGCGTACCTAATATTTGACAAGAACAATAATGTATCGTATCATCCTTGCGCTAACTGTAAGCATTTGCAACATGTTCTTCATTAAAAGTGTAACCTATTCATGGGCAAGATCGCAAACTTCGTAATGGTCATCACATAACTATGGCTCTTTTTGTGTTCATATTGCCCTCATTGGTTACTGGCTTTCTAAACATCTGCTCGCAATATGTGCACTGTCTGTCGGAAGGCTACGGTCTCTGATTTGGTAGGCAATTGGAGCCTAATGTAGGTCTTTACAGCTTGTCCAATGAATCAGTTAACGTAAACATTCTAAGGGATTGCCTCAGCTAGCTAGTTAGGTCATAGTATGTTGTATCGAAATGATAGTTCATTCAGATTTAGAAGTGGCGTAAATGTGCTACCAGAAAATCAAATTTAAGCTATAGCACATCATCCATGCCATTGAACAGCGGTCACTCTTGTATGGCGACTTACGTGATGAAGGGTTAGTTTAATTAGCGATTGGGTGTTTTTCCAGTTCAAATTTATGGCATAGGCGCCAAGGCTCATAAGATAAGCGGATACAGACATTGCGTAATGGTAGTATCAACACTACTAATAATAAGTGACTTTATCCTGTCGACTTTTCTGTCATTTACTGGCAGAGGACAGAGAACTTTGCTTCAACTTATCTCTGTAACTAGATAGCACACAGAATATTTTTAGGCTATTTTAATGACGGTCCCACTTGGGACAATTGTTTTTACTTTCTAGCCCGGCCAAAGATCATGCTTAGGGTGCTTTCGATCTTGGTCAACAATGAAGACTTCCTTCCAGCATAAATCACCACAAGCATTTGGGGTGCAATTTGAGTACCCTAGTACATACGTTTCACACCATATATACAGCCAGTGCGAATTTTCCATATGCACATTCTATACGTAATTGATGGAAAATGTAAGGTCATCATGTCCTGTGAACTGCTGCCGCTCCCCTTTTGTTGTCCAGAACAAAAGCGGCCGCAGCAATAAAAATAGATGTCGTCGCGGTACTAGTCGAGTGGAAAGAGGGGCCACGATGACCCTTTCCATTGCTCTCTGGTTTGTTGCCGGCGCGGATCTTGCGGGTGAGATCCCAACGACCACAGAAGTTTACCGTAACGCTGTCCACTGTACGTTCGCTAGGGGATCCAGCCAGAACAAAGACATGTGGCGGATCGGCATTATTCTGGACAACGACAGCTGAATAACGGCGGCAGACTTTCCTCGGGCTATTTAGCCATAGATAGCGAAATAATGGCGCATGGTGACTTCGCATCCGCCAATGCCATGTTACCGTCGGTGTTGCTACTGATAGTGATGGCGCGCGAAAACAATGTGTGATCTTCATCCTTCGAAATAGAGATGTTTGATGTTACGACTATAATGTGATATTTGGACGTAGCACTTCGAGAGAACTCGAAGGGCCTGCAGGATCGGTTAGGACACACCGGAACAAAGATGTGTTGAGTAAAATTGACTGACTACTCGGGATCGACTGTGACAAGTGACTTAGTTATATCCGAATAATTGCTTTACATGTCTATAGGTGGATAATTTCTTTTATGGATAATTGCGCATAAGGTGTGCACTATAAGGGAACGTAATATATGAAGTATAGATGAAAACGGCGCGCTTGTCAATGTGGATCGAAGCTGGATTATCAATGGGCTGTTCGCTGGACACCAATGGATACTTGACAACTGGGTCTCTCTCTACAGGTGTGGTTATATATTCACTAGGTAGAGTTTAGGTAAAAAAAAGTGTTGGCAGATCAGGTAGCGGTAATAGTTCCTTTCTTATTCGCACAGCCAACAAAAAGGATTTAATAATGTTAACGCCTTGGAAGCCTGTCAATGTTAGTGGGGGTCATGTGACGGCAGCGCATTGAATTTGAAAGATCATACTGGCGATGAAAGCGGACCAACTTTTTTAAGGTAAAGAACGGCTGCCAGCTCGGACAGAATAAGAATGAAAGCGATTATACCGAAGGCTATGGACTCTATACGTAGAAAAAAAAAAGCTACCATTTTTGCCTTCTACGCTTAGGTACGCTTTCTCTGGTGTTTCTGACCGATTGTATTACGTCTGTTATATGATAAAGCTTAAATTAGTATTTTCCACTTTGATCTGTTTTTCAATTGTTGCAATCAAACGCTCGTGACCAAAAATCGGTCCCGAAAGAAAACAAAAAAGAAAAATAAAGAGCTAATCCTGTAAACGGCCAAGAGGCTATTTCAGCTTTTGAAACCATCGATCAATATCATCATATAACTAATCGGTCTGCACGCATGTCAAGTATGTATATGTGCCCTATAAGCTATTATTAACTACTTTTACGATATCGAATAGCATTTCTGACCCAGAATATTATGTTAATATACATTATAAAGATCCACGACAACGATATCTATTAAAAACAGCTGCAATCGTTCGTTGAACCTGTTTACTGACCTATATTTTCTCTCCCGAATTAAATCTGCCTGATAAATAAGAATAGCTTATTTCAGGCATATTCGTAACGGTGTAGTTTATCGCAGTCCGACGACGCAGATATTTAAGAAAATCACGTTCGTTAATCACACGAACTCTGTGGTACCTATATATCACTATAGGCAGCGACTCCTGATCTTTTTCAACCTGCGGCTTGCCAGGCAGATATCTGGCACAGTCCGTTATCGGATGGTCGGTCATTAGAAGGCTATCAGAACCAAAACAATATGCGTTCCTTTTTTTTTTTTAGCAAACGTAGACGTCCATAGGTTAACGAGAGGTCGAATTAGTTTTAGTTCTAGAAAAAAAGGACTTCAGCGTGACTGGAAGAAAGTTGTGGCACACTGAAGGCTCGACTATTGCAGGTGAGCATTTTTGGGGTCAAGAGCGCCCATCATTGGTAATGGGCGGCAATAATGTACTCGCTGTTCCAATATAAAGCTTACGAACGCGAGTAGTAGCGAATATGGTCGTCGGCCTCATTTTCGTTTAAGGCCAAAATGGCAGCTGCCCGAATCGGGCAACTGACAACTCATGAGAACATACTAAATAAATTTATAGTGTACCGATAGTATATAATAGGTGACATTTTCGATAATCAATAGTTCTTACAGAAAGGGCACCTACATTTAAAATCAACCTAATCGAATTCGGTCCTCTTACAAATTTTTCGTAGTTGAATCCATGCGTCATGTGGCAAAAAATCAGATATACATTAATTCGATGCAATTGTATCCGGGAGTCGTTCGTCATTGCTTGTTTTTCATAGAAAACTATATCTATTTTTCCCCTGTTGGTGTTGTAAATGCGAACTCCTACTAGGTTAAACTGATACTGGAGGCGGGTTAAAAGCGGGGCTTTTTCCGCTGGGCTATTCCTACAGTTCCACAAGGAAACACAAAGTACACATTTCAAGTAGGCTTCTTTCAAGTGGTCTAGCTGCGTTCAGGCGAATTGTATAGTATAGCTGCGGTGGAACCGTAAAAACCAGTAATCGCATTGCGAAATGAGTTACTTTTCCCAAATTATCTGCTATAATTATGCATATCTGCTAAAAGTCCTCCAATAATTTATTCGAATAGGAAGAATCTATTTTGAAAATATTCAATAATTTTACTAGATCAATGTCTTTTTACTGTTCTCGATTATATTTATTAGTCCCTAGAGTTGATCCGTTATATAAAAGCTTCTGTATTTAACGTGTCGTTTAATCTTTCGTCGAGAAAGATTAATTTTAGCTTATGGCGGCTTGACCAGTTCGTGTGCCACTTAGCGACCATGCGATTGTTATCCTGACTATCCGAAACTATGTTCCACCTGATCTGAATCAAAATTAAGGCATATATACAGGTCTCCGGGGTAAGACCTAGTCTCCTGCAGACCTCTTTACTCATTTTAAGGAGAGGGAATCTATTTCTTATTAGAACGCTGTCTATTGTTCGACATTGTATCTGAGCCAGCTCCTCTGGATATTGACTTCAAGCGACTATGGCATACATAAAATTGTCGAAATCTAATCTATCTAGACCTTTGGCTATTCAGCCAACTATTGTCTCGGCTATGCACTACAAGTGGTTTTGTTCATGAGGATTACTTCCATATAGCTGTTCTCGGAGACATTTATGTCGTACGTACAAAACCATTTTTTGTTCGGTAAGTCGTTAGGCAGCACTCGAACGCCTCTACAGTGCCCATTCAAAGCTTGAATAAATAAGTTCAGGGAAACATTTAGGACTTGAGTGACGTACAGGGCTACGATCGTTGTAGCTTACTCATACAGGCTTTAAGTAAAAGCAACAGTCAACATTTAGGTGGAAATCGTCGATACTCAGACTATAGCTGTCAGTGGAGCCTTAGGTATATTGACTTCTTCAAGGAAATTGAAGTGGGCATAACAACTCCAATAATCATTTGATTGAACGTAAATTGTATTCAATACTCTTGTGTGTACAATAGACAGCACATAAATATATCGTACGTAGTCGAACGTCACCTGCTTCATCAACGAGGACGCCCAAACCTGTTATTTTGAACAGTGAGGACGGATATGACAGCATTTGCTTAGAAAACATAAATTAAGCTTAATACTGTGATAGAACGCAAAACATACAATAAAAATAGTATTATGTTATTAACAAAACTAACTAATCACACGGCGTACTAGAAAGTCAGAAGTTTTTTGTGGTCTTGGGTAGCTAGCCACTACAATCCGGCTTCGACTATTTATAACGTTGATGTAGGCTTACTCGATAATTTCAGAACAAGCGAAAATAAATCCTGATATTTCTATGACAACTGATTTGTTTGTCATATTTCTCTAGACTGGACAGTTGGTCTCATATAGGAGAATCATTGTAGAGAAACAACACCCGGTACATTCAGGGCTTTGCTATGCGCCATATGGTCGATGTTAGTTAGATGGTTGGGCCAATTAACACCCAGCGATGTGTCGTGACATACACTAATGTTATTCAACTCATTAAAGTGGCAAATAAACTGAAGACAGACAACAGTTTCTTGGACCTGTGAGGCTCTGCGTAGTTTTCATGCAAAAGAGGCCCGTTTGATTTGCTTGCCAGTCAGCGACCAAAAAGCTTGGAGTCGGTAGCTAAAAGTCTTTCTGTGAGGGTGTAGAGTGGACCGTCTCGTTATTTGCCCTGTCTTAGAATGTCACAGACGAAGCAAACTTTACCCGCTCACTGTTCCTCCCACCGTTTTGCGTTTGCGTCAGTATAGGTTTGCGATCTTGGATCGACGTTGCACGGCGTACGTAATATGCTTCTTTAAAAAGTCTACATAGCTAGAATATGGAGAAGTCGCAATGTTTAGGGGTTCGTGACGAAAGTGACAATATGTACGTCATTAAACTACTTCAATACGGGGCGCGGCAGTACGATACCTTCTGCATGACCAGACGGGCTAGACTATTCAGCCCTCTAAAACAGAGCACAAAAAAAATGTACATTTAATGTTGTCCGGTTCAGAGCAAAGAACAGAACACATTTTTAGAAAAGGCGACGATTCTTGGATTGCGAATTTTAGCATATTAGAACCCTGATTTAATTGAAAATTATTCTAACTGAAGTTGTACGTTGCACGTTCGCTGACGTATTGTATTCCGAAGACATTTCAAAGAAAATCGTCGTCACCCTTCAATTAGAGGAAGGCGTTCGAATTTATTGATAGGGTCATGCTCGTAGATCGGAGCGACAACAGTACGATACGTAACGGTACCCTTACATATTTCCGTGGAGTCCATGGTCTCTATCTAAAATGCCTTAATGAGTATATTGACCTCCCTATTAGCTAAGCGTTTAGACAAACCGTACCTAGCAATTAATTATTGCTAATACAGTTAGGATTGCTCAGTATTGTTAAATGTTGATGTCTGCTAAAAACAGTAACTGTTTTGAACTTTTCGTCCTATACTGCCATCAAGCAGTGTTTTAGACAGCTTATTTACACATAATACGTAACGAAACATCCCCCAGCCTAAGAAGTAAGCAGTCTTTGATAGAATTTAAATAGGCCGAAACATTTATTAGTAGAAATTATGCTTTCTTACCTGTCTTAATAGCAACAACGACGTTAATGATAAACGTAGTGCTAGTCATAGTATTTAACTAGACAGGGCCTTGTATTGAATCAGAACGTTCACTATATTTATTATTTATATTTATATATATATAAATATTTTATAAGTTTCGACACTTTGAACTGGGAACCCATTTTCGATATTGCTTCTTACTCGAGCTTACTTAAACGAGCACCTCGAGGCATCGCCACGTCGATCGTCAGTCATGATGTTCTACATCTAATTGTAGTATAAATGGGCAAGATTATATAAATTGTAGGTTTTAATGTATACTTTGTGCTGATAAGACTCTATACTATTCAATAGATATCGCTGGCAGGTTGACCTATCACAGGCTGCAGGCAATCTTTAATGCTTAAATGCGCTGGCGACCTCTCATGGGCTAGGCTCGCCATAAGGGTCAAGTGTCGGCCTGTAGGACTTGTGGACATCCTCCACCTTATTAGATTTGGTATATAATTTACTGAGGTTCTGATTATGCTTCATTAGACACAGAAGCATATTGCCGCGTGTATAAACGAGCACTTGAGTCAAGCGCAAGCCTATAGATGTTACCACATTTTGACCCGTGTCAGGGTAAATAAAGGTTACGAATGTGGACGAATAGTATAGAGAAACTTAACAACCTTTAGC